TGTTTACGTGTAGTGAAGATATTAGCACCCTACAATGTCTATTTTTTTTTTTAAATATTTATTTAACCCCTAAACAACAATTATTATTATTTTTTATTTTAAAAGAAGATAAAGTATTTATTAAAATGTTAATAGATACCTTAAAAAATTATTTTAAAAATTATTTTGACTCAACGAGTCCGGTTCCTACTCCTACATATCCCCAGGTGTAATGAAAAACTTAAAGCCACATAGTTCTATCTAAAAATTATGAAAAACTTAAAACCACATAGTTTTATCTAAAAATTATGAAATTGGTTGATTAAAATTAAGCTTAGTAAAAAAGATTTATTTTGAGATTAATTTATAAAATAGTATTTAGGATATGAGATAATGCAGTTATACACGTAACTTACGAGAAATAATATGAAAGGTGAAAGAAGATTACACAACCATATTGCAAATCATTAAAAAATATTTTTATTTGTGAATTTGAATTTGAATTATGATTAATGTTGAAATAAAGTTTAAAATAATGTAAGTTATACATAAATCTCTTATAATTTATTGAACAATCGAAGACAATATAAATCACACATCAATATTATAAAAATTTATATAATAAAATGAAGAAATAATTAATTATTTAATTTATCAGAACTAGAAATATGACTTAAGAAAATTTAAAATATGAAATTAATTATATTTAATGAAAAGAGTAAGTATATTTGAATTGATTAAAGAAGATATTTATTTAATTTAAAGATCAAAATTTTATTTGATAAATTTATATTGCATAGGACCTAAGATAAAGTTGGTACATAAAAATCTTTATGATTTAAAAAGTGTATAAAGGTAGAGATGTTACACAATAACATTATAAATCGTGGTACGTAATACAATAATTTGATTTTTATTTTACTGAAATGAAATAATAAATTATTTGTTTGATAATTAAAAGAGAAATTTTGATTAATAAAATCAGCATTAATTAGTTTTTAAATATTGATATTTTATATGAGAACAAGGTAACGTAGATACACATGATTTCAATAATTTACCATACGTAATGATAGAGATATTACGCATTAACATTGTAAATTATTGTAGTAATTCCATATATTTATTTATTACACTTGTTATATACAATTTTTTTTATTTATAGAAACTAAATTAAAAAAAATTCTTGTATAAGAATTAAAAATAATTTAAATCTATCACATTAAATAAATGTTTGATGATTAGATGCTTAACATTGTTATAACATACTATAATGACATGAATAAAATTAAAAATAAATTTTTCTATAAAGACTAATATACAAATTTTTTATTCGTAGAAACTAAATTACAAAAATTAGCACATCTTGTAAAAGAAATAAAAGTTTATTTATCCTTAATTTTTTAAACATAAATGAAATATAAAAAAAAATTTAAAAGTAAGTTAGTCTAACTGATAGAAGATCATTTTATAAGTAGTAAAAATTAAATGAAAAATATACTTGAACTTTAAATTTTAAAAAACCCTCATAAATTTATTTAACTGATAAAAAAAATGTACTCTTAATTTGTAAATATGAAATTATATCTATTTTTAATTAAATTTTCATTAAATAAATTAATAAAAAAAGAAAAATTTCATTCGAATGACTAACTACTTTAAAAATAAGAATATATTTTGATATTGATGTTCAGAGAATATCCAGAATAGGAAAACACAAGCTTGTATAAGAATATGAAAAGAAAATAAGGAAGTTTGATTACTTTATCCAAACAAATTTTTTAAGAATAAAACAAAATCTAATTACTCTATTCAATAAAAAAAATTAACAATGATAAAAATTCATTTGATAAAAAGTAAATTTGCTTAAAAATTTAAAATATCTTATCCAAAAAGGATTATCTCATTTGTTAAAATGAGGAACAAAATTATGATAGGTGGTCAATTCAGTACATGTGTAAAGAATTTTATCTTATCAAATTCATAATAATGAGTTTGTTAATGTATATCAATTTCCTTAAACAAATTTCATAAGAGTTTAATTCTGGTGCATATTATCAATGTAAAGAGTATCATATTTTTAATAAATTTTAATTTTGATAAGGACACCGTAAAAGATAATGACTCTAAAGAATGTTTTATTTGTCTAATAATAGACTCTTACTTAAAATACAAAAGTTAATGATTATTATTAATATAATAATAGGTGATTGTGTAAAAATTATTTATGCACTTATTAGTAGATTTAAATTTAATTCATAATTAGATTAGATTCTAATAATAAATATTAGTGTTTTCAACGAATCAACAACTAATCGTAATTTATTTTGAATATACAATATTTTAGTTATATATTTTATTTTAAGAAAGGTTAAAAACATTTTTTTATATATTTTTTTCTAACGCATCTTGTCTTATATTGATTGAAATTTACTTACAATTCTAAAGACATGAGTGAAAAATTAAAAATGAGACATATATTTTATATATAAAATATTTAATAAATTTTAGTCATAAAAATGTTAAGTATATTAAAAAATGTATTGTTAATATATTTTTTTTAGTGAAAAAAATTAAACTTCATAGGTAATTAAAAGAATTATGAACCCAATAAAACTCTAATATATACACAAATACGACAAAATAAAAAAAGGTCAGATATAAATGGTGAGGTGTTGTGTTTACACATATTGATATAATTTTATTTAATAAAACGTAAACTTCTTAGTTTCAACATTTGAAATTTATATTAATAACATATTATTACTAGTAAATATTTGATTTAATAATATTTTTAATATTTCTAGTTTCGATCATGTGTAATTTTAGTTACTTACATTTCTTTCAAGTAATCAAGTATCTCTTCTTTGGGCTACTGTAAGTGTTGAGCACTTTGTTAAAATTGCTTTAAAGAAAAAGATAATAAAAATTAATCACTCAAAGTGTGATGGTAACAATTCTTTCATGATGATTTTTAAGGTACCCCAAAATTTGGAAGGGTAAAATCAACTCCTTCACATTTGGAAGGGAAGAAATGCATGGTCTTTGTTTTGCCTATGGTTATCACTATTTGCATGGTCATGGGACTAGCAAGATAGCTTGAAAGATTGCTTAAATCCGATAATACTATCAACACGTGACATTATATCACTGTACGAGTATAGCATGGAGGGGTTTATTAAATCCTCACAAATTTTAAGGCACAGCAACATTTATCTTTTTTTATGCAAATTTATTCATTTATCTATTTTTTCTATCTAAAATACTTAAATTTTAATATCTTAATAAGAATTTTTATAAATTGAAATCAATAACTTGTCTCCTGTTTAAAATCAATCAATTAAAATATTAAATTTTATCTAAAATAAAAAAATCATAATTTCTTTTCTCTTTGTTTACTTTAAAATTCTGTAAATTTTATTATTTGCTTAATATTTATTTTTAACTTTTGAACTTTTAAATTATTTTATAAATTCATTATTAATCCTCCAAAACTTTGAAAAGGAAAGAAAATTTTAAAGTTTTAATTTAAGTAAAAAGAAATCGATAATAGACTAAACTTTCATAATTTTAAAAGCAAAATACTTAATTAATTTTTAAAAAATAATAAAATAAAATGACACATAATCCAAAATAAAAATTAAAAGTACAATCAAACATAAGTTATTTTATTGATATATAATTTTTACATATACTTAGTATCAGTTACATCATACTATTATAATTACACAAAATATGCCTAACTATTAAAATCCCACAATGTCTAAATTAATGGTTTAATTTTTACTAAATATTTTTTATTTTTTCATTGAAAGGAATAATTATTTTTTCTTTAGTACACAACAACGTTATAATGAAAATTAATTGACATCGGACACATGAAACAGTTCGTACATCCCCTTGAGTTGGCGTTATTCGCTAAAAGCCTCAAATTTCATATCGTAAAAGTATTTTAAAAATAGCGATGGATCACAATAAAAATTATTTTAAATAGGTGAGACTACAATTCCATATTATTTAAAAAATCAAGGATATTAAAATAATACAATTATATTATTATTAAAGAGATGAAATTAGGCCTACAAAAAGATCAAAATTAATTATCTCTCAAACATGTCGAGCATAGTTCGATTAAAGATATCTTTGGTGTATAAAATTAATTATCTTCAATATATTTTTAATTATTTTGTAATAGTTTACTTTTAATTATTAGAATAAAATTTTATATTAGTTTTATTTGTTAAAATTTAATATTTTTAGTCTTTGGTGTTAATATGATTAATTAAGAAAGGTGAGCAAAAGTATTGAATTTAAAAATATCAAAATGTAAAATTATTTTTTGTAAACGAACAACATTAAAATCTTGTAAAAATATAAGATAAAAATTAATTATATTTAAGAAAAATGAAATTGAGAGACAAATAGCAAAAAAATAAAAAAATAAACAAAAAGATAGCCTATACGTTAGAAGTTGCAGGCTTTGGTTAAATATAGTCAAGCGGATTCTTCGAAGATTTACATATTGTTGTGCATAAGACTGGCCATTAATTAATTGAAGATCAATGTGATACAAATTGTAACATGCAGAAACAACTGGCAAGTGATTGCTATTGCATCATATTTTGTTGTTTTAAGTAGTTTCTTCGTGAATGCGATACACTATACACATGCCTTTCTATACTATATGGTCATTGGTTATAATAATTAAACAAATCAATATATGAAATAATTTGTACCTATGTGGTGGACGTTTAGGAACTTGCCATAACCCATTCAAGAAAAATAAACATATTTGTACAAATTTGAGCATTACCTTAATTTTATAAATTTTCTAAGACAATCCAAATTATTTTGGGTGTATTAGCTGCATGCTTTGCAATACAAAGCGTGCAAAGTCAACATAGGGCGGCAATTTCTACTGAGGTAGCCTTTTGTTCTGTCTATATATATAGTCAAATCGTATTCTGAGAGGCACAAAAATTAATCAGTGTTTTGAAGAAGTAAGAAGTTGAGTATCGAAAATGAAGATCATAATCCTCTTCTTTTGCTTTGTTCTTCCCTTGGCACTTGCAGACCTGAAGGTTGGATTCTATGGCTCCTCGTGCCCGAAAGCAGAGTCAATTGTGCAGCAAGTGGTGCAGAAGCGGTTCAGTCGTGACAAGTCCATTACTGCAGCCTTACTTCGCTTGCATTTTCATGATTGTGCTGTCAGAGTAAGATACAATTCATCTTAGCTCTAGTTTACGATATGTCAAGACTGTCATAACATAACCAAGTAAACAACTATTCAGAACTAGTAACAAGCATTTTTTTTTTCTTAATTTAGGGTTGTGATGCATCCATTCTCATAGACTCCACGGACGACACGCCAGAGAAAGAATCAGGTACAAACGATGGCGTACGAGGATTCGATCTGATCGATGAGGTGAAGGAGAGCCTTGAAGCAGCATGTCCTTCAACAGTGTCATGTGCAGATATCATAACACTGGCTACAAGAGATGCCGTGGCCTTATCTGGAGGACCCAAATACGATGTTCCCACAGGAAGACGCGATGGCTTAGTCTCCAACACTAACGATATCAAGATTCCAGGACCCAGCAATCCCGTCTCCGTAATATCACAATTTTTTGCCAGTAAAGGCATAACAACACAAGAAATGGTGACCCTTTTTGGTGCTCACACCGTTGGTGTTGCGCACTGTAGTTTCTTTTCTGATAGACTTTCCAACTCCCAAGGGAAACCTGACCCTACAATGGACCCTTCGTTGAGTGCTAATTTGATAAAGCTGTGCAATTCAACTGCCGACCCAGCGACACCTTTGGACCAGCAGACATCTTTTCTTGTTGATAATCAGTTCTATAAGCAGATTCTTGTTAAGAGAGGTGTGTTGGAGATTGATCAGCAACTTGCCTTGGATACAAGCACCAAGAGCTTTGTGTCAGATTTGGCGTCAAATGAGGATCGTTTTGAGAATAGTTTCGCCAGTGCAATGATAAAGATGGGGAAGATAGATGTTCTTGTTGGAAATCAAGGAGAAATTCGCAAGAAATGCTCGGCTTTCAATAACCGTAGCTAGAATAATATAGAATACACAATGCTAGGAGCTAGCCTTGTGAGAGTTGTTAAACTATGTTTTTGTTCTGTTCTTGATTCTCTTTCACTCTAAAGCAGGAATAAATAATTGAACTTGTGTGCCATAAAAAACCATATATTTCTTCCGTGTAGTTCATTATTTATTTATATGAATTAGCATGAATAAGTAACTAGCATTAAAATTATCGTGTAATTCTATGTTAATTAAAGTATGGTTTCATAAATAAAAGGTGACAAGTTTTCACCTGGGAAAATATCATATGGTTTTGGAGGATGTTAGAATAATGTGATTCAAGACAAATGATATTTTAACAATTTGGAGGGACAAGTTTTAATTATCTCTTTTAATTTTTTAGTGTATACAATAAATAAAAAGTGAAAATTAGAAAACTATAAAAAAGAAGAGAAAAAAAGAAACAATGTATTAATGAAAAATAAACAAATCAATGTAATTAAAAATAGATAAATTTTGTGGAACCCTTAAAAAAATTTTAGAGTATCGTACATAAAATTTTTTAATCAATAATATTTAAAAATATATTTAAATAATAAATTATTATATTTATTATATTTAAATAAGTTAAAAAATGATTAAATCTTTAAATAGGACTAGAATTCAATTAAAACTAAATAAACTAAAATTTAAAAATAAAATAATAATATTATATTAATATATTTTTTATATTCTTAATTTTATTATTATTAATATTTAATTATTTAATTATTATATTAATATATTATGTTATAATTATTTTTATTTATAATAAATAGAAATTATATTTTATTTAAAATATTTAAAATTTTTTTATTCTTAATAACCGCTAAATGATGACATAATTATTAACTCAAAGACTAAGACATATCAAATTTTGTAAAATTATGTCAATTACAATGACTAAAGTTATCTTAAAACTTGTAATAATATAATAAAAAAAATATTTAGGCATACTAAACTCATAAAACTATTTTAATACACACTTTTAAAATAATTTAAATTATTTATTATAAAAATAAACATTTGAATAAAAAAGTTAAATTTATAGACATTAATTATGTTATAAGGTGATGTCAACCTATGATTACATAAATTAATAGTTTGTTATAATAAACTATTTAAAACAGTACTAAAGAATTAAATATTTAGTAGTCATTAATGAACAATGAAATTAAATTTAATATTAATAGTAGTTGAAATTATTTTTATATAATGACTTCTACCTGACTTGAACTAGAGGTTGTGAATCCAATTTATTATGCATTTTAGTTATACAACTTGAATTTAATTACAATATTAAACATACATGAAAAGCTTGTTTAGAACATATGAGCACTGTTTTAGAAGCATTGAATATTTAAATTAAAACGTGTTTACAGCCTTGCTAAAATAAGTTTGATGGTCAACGCAACCTTTAAAATTTTGGAGTCTTTCTCTTTAATTATCCTTGAATGATGTCTATTTTGAGTGATAGTTTAGCCAATTTTTTATTTTATGTAATTTACATTCTCATTTTTTTACTCTAAAAAAATAACAACAACAATAATAATAATAATAGTTATGTTTCTATGAAATCATTGAAACATGATTTTTGAAATTGTAAAAATAAGCTTGACTTATTGAAAAAATAAAATATATGTCATTTTATTTATATATCTACTTTTTTCTCTATCATTTATATTGAAATATATTAGACATTACTAAAAATACATGAATTGCAGATAAATTTTATTGACGGATTTTGTTCTATTTCTAATACAAATGCATTTATAGATGGAAGAAAAATTGTCTGTAAATCTATCTATTTTACATACAGAAAAAAGAAAAATCTGTCCGTAAATATAGTTAGATTTTAATACAAACTTTTTAAATAATTTAAAATATTTAATAAAAAATTAAATTTATAGATTTAAATTATATTATAAGGTGGTGTCCAGGATTACATAAATCAATAGTTTATTGCTAAAAACTATTTAAAATAACACTGAAGAATTAAATATTTAGAAGTCATTAATAAACAATGAAATCAAATTCATATTGATGGTAATTGAAATTATTTTTCTACAATGACTTCTACCTTACTTGAACAGGTCGTGAATCTAACTCATTTGATACATTTTAGTTACACAACTTGAATTTAATTGCAATATTTAACATACACGAAGAGCTTGTGTAGAATATATGAGCATTATTGTCCGAGCATTGAATAGTTAAAACATGTTTATAAATCTGTCAATATTGCTGTAGATGGTCTTGTTAAAATAAGTTTGAGAGTCAACTCAACATTTTAAATTTTGAAATCTTTCTCTCTATCCTTAGATGATGCTTGTTTGAGTGATAGTTTAGCCATTTTTTCTTTTATGAAATTAGATACTCATTTTTTACCTTAAATAAAAAATAACATTGATAATAATAATAATGATTATGTTTCTATGAAATCATTGAAACACAATTTTTTATGCTGTAAAAATAAGCTTGACTTATTGAAAAAGATAAAATATATGGCATTTTATTTGTATATCTATTTTTCTTTCTATAATTTATATTGAAATATAATAGATGAATTATCATTTCTCTAAGAAAGCTAGTAGACATCAATCTCTTAAAACTGTTATTTGTCTAGTAAACAAATTTGCAATAAAACAATAGAAATACTTACTTTTAATATAGGAGAGGGGAAAGAGAAGGAGAAGAGAAGAAGAAAGAAACTTTCTGTAAATATTTAAAATATGTTTAAGGATTTATTTATAAATATTAATTTTAAATAAAATATTATAAAATCAAATGACGTGACATGTCACGTGAAAATACTGAATTGACTTTATCAACCAATTTAACATTTAATAGAAAAACGTTGACAGTAAAACTAAATCCTATCTTCTTAATATTTTAAGAACTAAATCTTAACCAAAAATTTTATATGAACCTATCATAAAATGTATTATATTTATAAGGACTAATCATATATTTAAGTTTTAAAAAAATAATTATTTTCGTAAAAATCTTCCAAACATATTATAATTATAATTGTAGTACTATTTTTAAGTTTCACCAAAATTAAACTGCAATGCATCTTTTTAAGTTTCTACTTTTAAGGACCTCAACGTTGGTCCTTACCACTTGTCATAGTTCTTTTACTAATAATCAAAGACAAATTCATATATGGTCTCTAATTTCAGGCATAGTCTTCAATTTATTGAGTTTATCATGATTAATTAATTATAGAACATGTATAATGACATATCAATAGGAGAAGGTAAAATTATTAAACCTAAAAATACTTGTGAGTAAAAATATGTTATAGGTTAGTTCTATTAATATAGATTATAATCCACTAAACAATTTGACCTTAGGTTTCAATATATTAAAAATAAAGTGGGCTAGATTAGGGTTAAAGGTAAGTTATCTCATTTTTAAAAAAAAATAATTAATAACTATCGTATTATTTTTTAGTAAAAGACACGTGTTTGTTTAAATTTTTTATTAAATTATTTTATTTAAAATTAATTAAAAATATATTTTAAAAAATAAATATTTCTATCAAATGAAATTATTTCACTTTAAAATAAATCTACTAAATTAAGATAAGATAAAATTTAAATGTTTAAATATTCATTAATTTTTATTAAATTCACACGTTACTATTCTCGTAAAATTTGTAATATTAAGTATTAAATATTTACGATTTTTATGATAATGGGTTGCATTTACCTTTTTTAACATATTATATTTTATTTAAAAAATTATTTAAAATATTTTAATAATAGATGACTTAATAAATTTAACTAAAGTTCTTTTCTGTTGTCAACTTTATGTATTTATTGTAACTTTAAAATATTTATTAATGTTCTAAAATAATTTTATAAAAATAAATTAAAATAATAATAATTTTAAAAAATTAAAATATAAATTTTTTTATAGTTTATACTCGAATAATATTATAAAATAATGTACTATAAAATTATTTATATAATAATATGAATAAACAAAATTAATATGATTAATATTTATCAATAATATAAGCAAAAATGAGATAAATATATATATAACTTAATTTAATAAAAAAATTATATTTTATTTAATATTATTTAATAACAATAATTTATTTTAAATATATTTAAATTTAATTATTTTTCATATATTTTTTCAACAAATTTATTTATCTATAAGTTTATAGTAAAAAAATGTTAAACATATTTAGTTGATTATAATAATTTTTTAAAGGTAGATGACTCATGAGTTAAACCTAGTCGACTTAATTTAGTGGACATTTTATTTCACATTGTGGGTTTTTTGTTTTTTTGTTACATGGGCGTTTTAGTCCTAACCTAGTACTTGAGCAATAGCTTTGTGTTGCCTTGAACCATTTTTTATTCAAGATCTTCAAAGGTACCTTTGAAGTGGTTGTTGGGGAAATAATATAATACAAATAAAATTAGGATAAAATAATCAACTTTATTATTAAAAGATTATTACAAAATTCTCAAATATCACGTTGTCCTTACATAACTCAAATTTTTTTATTATGTTTAATTATTGTAGTTTTTGTTGAAAACATTGAAATGCATGCGTATTTATACTAAATAACAAAAAATTAAAACCACAAAATATAAGACATTGTAGTTTTATTTCTCAACTCCTGAAGTGGTAAAAAGAATGCATTAAGTTAGTTTCTTTATGTGGTTAAAACAACTCTAATAGTGTTTAGATGACCCCATTTAAGTAGAACTTGTCTTGAGAAAATTTCTATGTTATTACATGGTGTGAATAATGAAATATGAAATGTAGGGTGAATTTTACATTGCTTTGACAATTTCAGCATGTCCTTCCTTGTACAGAATTTGATAAGGCCCAAAGTAGTGAGGTGCAAGCTTTTTAGTCTTCCTTAAAGTGAACAAATTGTTATTGATAAGGTTAGAGCTTCAACACAACATCCAGTCACCAACCTAAAATTCAGGTTCTGATCTATATTTATCAACCTGTTGTTT